TTGTGGAGGGTTGTGGTTTCAAGCTGAGGCTCTGGAATCAGACACATCTAGCTTAGCTCTTCCACCTACCAGTTATGTTACTTGGACAAGTTAGTTAATCTCTAGGCTTTGATTTCCTCTTATTTAAAATAATAATAGTTATTTCATAGATTCTCAAGGATTAAGTTAGATCATGTAACAGGTAGAGTGGCTTTCTCAAAGAAAGTGCTCAATACATGTCGGCTGTTAGAGTTGACCCTTGAACAACTTGGGTTTGAACTACTCGGGTCCACTCATATGCAGATTTTTAAAAATAAATATGTAGCACAGTACTACACGCACCACAGCTGGTTGAATCCACAGATGTGAAACTGACAACATGGAGGACTGATTGGGAAGTTATACTTGGATATCGAGGAGAGTGGGCACCCCTAACCTCTGCGTTGTTAAAGAGCAGTTGTGCCCCTTAGGAACTATACCGACCATCATAGACTGAATGTGTCCCCTTAACATTGAAATCTAATTTCCAATGTAATAGTACTTGGAGGTAAGGTCTTGGGGAGGTAATCAGGTCATGAGGGCAGAGTCTCATGAATGGGATTAGCATGCTTCTAAGAGGCCAGAGAGCTAGCCTGCCTTTTCTGACATATGAGGACACAGCAAGGTGGCCCTCTGTAAACCAGGAATAGGACACTCACCAAGAGCTTGACCATGCTGGTACCCAGATCTCAAACTTCCAGCCTCCAGAACTGTGAGAAATAAATGTTTCCTGTTTCAACCACCCTAATCTATGGTAATTTGTTTTAGCAGCTCAAACTAGGACACCTGGTCTATTAGGGTTCCAGAGGAACAGAATCAATTGGGTGCATGCATATAGAGAGAGAGCAAGTTATATTAAGGAATTGCCTCATGGCATTGTGGAGGCTGGCAAGTCCAAACTTTGTAGGGCAGGCTGGTGTAGACTTGAAATTTAGGTATGATATGATGTTTCAGTTTTGAGTCCCAAATCCACAGAGCAGGCATTTGTTTGCTGGAGCTTATTTTTGTCTGTAGTTGTTGGTGTTTCCATGTTGCTGGCTTCTTCCGCCTCAAATCTGCTATATATGAGGCAAAAAAAAAGCCCAGGGAAAAAAACAAAGGGTCATTGCCTGGATCCTGAGGGGCCTAGCCAATCTGCCTTCTTCTGATTGTTTTATATATAATGTTTAGGGTTTTTAGTTTTACTTAGTACAAGGAATAAGGAAAAGTATGTCTACTCCATCTTCCCAGAAGCAGAAGTGTTCAGACTTTTTTTTTAAATGTAGTTGAGTTTATTTCCTTTTGTGGCTTCCGAGTTTAGTGTCACATTTAGGAAGACCTTCATGCCAAAGTCATTAAGAATTTTTTCATGGTTTCTTCTGGAATTGATAATTTTTTTCACATTTAAATCTTATCCATTTGGAATCATCTTGCGATTAAGTAGTTTTATGTGAGTTTATGAACTAGCTAGCTACATTGCCCTGAATTGATCAATTACACAGCTACCTGATTTATTCTAGACAAATTAAGATCACCATTTAAAAAGATGCTTTTATTGATTTATAAAACTAGAACTTAGTCCTTAAAGGCCATAGAAACTAGGCTAAGAGCCATCTTTTGGCGGGGGTGGGGGCAGAATCTCCTGTTTATCTGCTAAAGTAATTATTATGAGAAGAAATTTGCTTTTTCCAAAATTAAGATCTTGCTTTTCATCTATGCAAATGATGCTTTAATATCGTCTTAGTTTACATAAGCATGCATTAATCTCTATACAATTTCAAGCAAATACGAGTTTTTCCAAAATAAACATCAGTAAAGAGATGCAAAACACCTTGTACTGAGCTTCTTTTCCAACCAAAATAACTATAATCTAATCCAAAACTTGATGTGCCTTTGTACTTTTTCTAAGAGCATATAAATCTCAAAAATTTTAATTTATGTGCCTTCATTTTCCTTTGTTATATTTACATATATTTAACTCTTGAAATTTGATCCCATTTGTTTTCTAGTTGTCACAAGATATATTACTAATTCTTTGTTTCTGATTTATAGAAAGCCAGATGAGAAATTTGCTCATGTAACCAAACCCCATAAACCCAGTGCAGAGCCCAGTGGATTCAACATTTTTCCCTCCTTTTATCCCTCTCTTGTCTGTGTCTGCTCAGTGGCTACATTCTCTCAGGTACCTCTACATGTCAGCTCTAGCAGCTCTGGAACTGAATCCCTGTAATTTATAATTGTCCCAAGGGAGAAACAAAAATAAACATCCTCCCTCTTTGGCTTCAGGAATGTAAAATTTCTGAAAAGTATTCTTATTGGCCTAGTTGTAAACCATGAGAACTGGAAGACATCTACCTCCCACTCAAGAAGGGGACTGATTTGCTTCAGAAGCAGGGGAGATGATCCTGAGAAGATAAAAACACTGCAAGAACATCTACTTTAAGAATTTCTATTAAGTTTAATATCCAATAATATTAAAACTCTAGTAAACTCATATACATCATGATGACTAAAATCATTCATCTTTTTAAGAGCCTAGGGATTATCTGCCACATCCTGTAAAATAATGGCTTGTCTTCAGAGCTCTGTTATTATCTTACATCTGCAGAGAAACTACAGTGATGGTAACATATTAAGAGTGTACAATGTTGTAGTCAAAACTACAGACCTTGTTGAGTTCCAGTTCTGTACTTTTGGATACATTAGTGGACCTCTTTTAGACTTTAACCTCCTTATCTGCGTTATAGGGATAAAAATAAAGTCTACTTCATGGGGTTGTTGTGAATATTAAACAAGATAACTTCAGGGATACAGTAACTATTATTACCACCTATTGGATCAAAAAGCAGAATCCAATTTCCTAATAAACCCACTGGCTAATTTAATATTCTATTACATCTGCTCTAAGTATAAGACATATTGGAATAGTAAGACTATTCTTATCCTTTAGGTCTATTTTTGTTTGAGAAAAGTTTCTTGATGGCACATTGAAAAACAAAACAAAACAAAAAATGGGTAACACCTGTTTTGATGGTGTTATAATGGAAACATCTATTTTTGGTTATTTATGACAAAGGAAGGGAGTATAATGAGAACCAACCTCATTTCTCTTAAACCCCATCTTCTGACCACCCCTTTCTTGAAATACATCCATGGAAATTTTGATATTGACATGGCTTTATATCTAAAGTTCTCTTTGTCAAATTGGAAAGTTACTATTAATGCCAGTTGTAGCTGTGTTAAGAGTTCTGATTCATATTAGCATTCATTTCAATGAAGGGAAAATTACCTCTACGTTGCCTCATCTCTTGACTTTCCTATTCCCTTCTGCTGTTTCATAACCTTCCATGCTATGCAAAGACAGGGACCATGATGATACCACACACCCAGAAAATAATGAGAATCAGGGAACTCAGGTTAAAAAACATACTTGTGGAAGAGGAAGCCCTGGGAGGACTATTTTTCTGGTCAAAGATAAATGTTTATCAGTGTGTAGATTGAGGTACCTTGATGAGTGAAGGGAGGCTCGTCATGATTGACAAGTTCAGGTAAAATCTGCCTGTAGAATTCCTACCCATTTAACACTTAACTGTGATTTACTCACATGAAGTCTTCCTAGAGCAGCATGGTACAGGGTGTGCAGAAGATGTATGTGTTGGCACTGGGAGAAAAGTAACTGAGTGTAAGGAAGAGGAAAAGCAGCAAGACAGAAAAATCTAATCAGTGAAGTGAGGCGAGAATTCTAGTCATTTTGATTTGCAATTGTGAATATTAAAATAATTATACTGTGTTCTCCAGTATTTGCTAAGTTTCCTAAAATGTTTTAAGTTCTCTAGTATTCCTTTAATATTTGCTACCCTCGAGAGCTAAAAACTATTAAACAAGGTGTGAGGTGGCTATATCAGTAGGCACAATTTATTTTACAAATCAACACAAGAAACTCTGAAACACAGCACTATCTTCAGATCTCATACTCTAGCTTTATTTAAATACTCAGACACTAAAAACTGATGCCAGGACAGTCTATAAGTGACAGTTACAAATCAGTTTGTGGACAGGAAGAGCCACATGAAAAGCTTACAGGAAGGTAAAAGCCTTTCAAGTGGAAAATGGCACATGAGTTAGTCTTATAATTGTGGACACAGTATGTTTAGCCTTTGTTTAATTGACAGTTTCGTCAGACATCTTTTTAAATGCACATGCTGAGATAACTGTGGCTATGCCTTAGTTCCTCCTGGGGAATTTGACATTTCTGAAGGTACAAAGACTGTAGATAAAACACCACTGCAGGAACTATATAAAGTTCAGGCTGCTCAGGATAAATTCTATAGAAAAACTACAATTAGCTGAACTATGGCAAAGATACTTTAACATGTAGCTTTTCTTCATTTCATTGCATCTTTTTTTTTTTAAACATCTGTATTGGAGTATAATTGCTTTACAATGATGTGTTAGTTTCTGCTTTATAACAAAGTGAATTAGCTCTACATATACATATATCCCCATATCTTCATTGCACCTTAATAAGTAGAACTTCACTATTGTAAATGCTATTTATATGCATTTTATTTACATATAAGTTATGATTCTTTTAACTACCCATCTCTATGGCTATAAAATTTTTCTTTCCTGAAAATCTCCTCTCTCCTACAACTGTTCTGCTTGCCTCTTTGTTCCCTAAAACGTATATTTCTTCTTTAAAAGGTGATTTATTTTCCTTTGAGAACAACTGCTGGGAAGCCTGCCTCAGAAAGGGAATAGAAATGTTTCTCCTATATTTTGAAAAAAAATTTTTCTCCCTAGGAATATGTGACCAATTATTGAACAGAATCAGTAGGAAATTAGGGCTTGGTAGACAGAGCTTTGCTGGAGAGCACGTATTCTATGAAATGTGGAATCCTGCCACAGTACCATGCAGGTGTGGAGGCAAGGAGGACAGTCTCGTGAATTTTCCAGCTGCCTGCCAGGGTGAGGACTGTCCACGCTGGCACTTGCTCCGGCTCTTACTCCTCGGACTGCTGTGGACCTACAGGAGCATCCTGTAAGCATTCCAGCCCAGCATCACTCTGAAGAGATTCTCTCTCCCCTTCCACAGAATCTTTAGGATTGCAGTCCTCCTGGGAGATTCCTGTTTCAGCCTCCGGCTGCTCTTCATTAACACAGTTAGAATTGACATTAAGTTTGCCATCTGATAAAAAGAAAAAAAAAGAGTCATTTTGTTCCTACCGTGTGCTGGACACTCTTCTAAGTACTTTATGTGTATTCAATCATTTAATCCTCATAACAACCATGAGGCCAAGTATTATCTCTATTATCATTTTTTACAAATGGAGAAACTGAGAAGAGAGGGGTTTGTTAACTTGCTCATAGTTGCACAGCTAGGAAAAGAACAGAACTGGCATTTGAACTCAGGCCTTGAAATCAGGATTGCTGACTGGCAAAATCCACATTCGAATACAATTTTGCCATGAGTTAGCTTGACGTGCTTGGTTAGGTAACTGCCTGTACAAGGCTGTTTCCTTATCCATAAAGTGGTGCATAATAAAGCCCGTCCTACATTTGTGGAGAATAAAGGTGTAGAATGGTGTGTGATACGGGCTGATGTCTAACAACCAGGAGTTCCCATTCTACTGACTGTCCTCCCATATGGCTTCTCTAGTACCTGTCAACATAAAGGATATACAAGTTTGGTTCAGAAAACAGGAGAACGCACAGCAGTCAGAAAGCCTGACTATTCTCTTAACAATTTATTTCTAAAAATTTAATTTTGTATGAATTCAGCTTTGTACCAATCATCCATTCCCGCTAGTAGTGTTTCTCCACCAGGTGGTAAAATGGACACAGTCCCTTGAGGGGTGGAGATGGACGTGCTTAGTGTTAGAATCACCTGGGCAGTGTTTTCAAACTATCACCCCCCAGAATGTGCTATATATCCTCTGGGTAGTGTGGGCGGTTCTCTTCTCCAATATATGAATCATTGCTCAAGCAACTCACTGTTCCTGATGAAAATGAGTCACATACTTACTTCAGGAGGGAGGGAGAGGAAAAATAATATGGAACTCACTGCCCTCACACTTGTAGAAATTTAATTTGTTCAAGTTAATTTGTAATTTATAGATTTACTCTGTAATTTCACCTGAAGTTTCATAGTTAAGAAATTTAAAGGCTTCCGACCTTAAAATTTTTGGGTAGCCATTAGGGGAAATTTAATTATTTTCGTATTCAAAGACCTTAAAATCCTTTGTGAGCAAAATATAAGTAACAACTCGTTAAGAGTGCATGGTTCCAGGGCAGTCTCATGAGTCATAACGTAGAATGTGGAATAAAACATATTTCTCAGAATCTTTTTTTAAAATTTAATTTAATTTATTTATTTTTAGCTGCATTGGGTCGTTGTTGCTGTGTGTGGGCTTTCTCTAGTTGTGGTGAGTGGGGGCTACTCTTCATTGCAGTGTGCGGGCTTCTCATTGCAGTGGCTTCTCGTTGTGGAGCACAGGCTGTAGGCGCACGGGCTCAGTAGTTATGGCACACGGGCTCAGTAGTTGTGGCTCGTGGGCTCTAGAGCACAGGCTCAGTAGTTGTGGCCCACGGGCTTAGTTGCTCCACGGCATGTGGGATCTTCCCAGACCAGGGTACAAACCTGTGTCCCCTGCACTGGCAGGCATATTCCTAACCACTGCACCACCAGGGAAGTCCCATCCTCAGAATTTTATGTCTTTCATTTTCTAGTGATAGCTGGCTGACTACAGTCTTGTACATTATCCCAGGGACTCAAAACAGGGATACATTTAAGCATGATCCTTATGTTGGTTAACCCCAAGCTTCCTTGGTCCCCTAAGACTCACTTCCTGTGTGTCCTGTGTTAATATCATTGATCCTTTCCCCACTGACCAACAGTATGATCTTGGTTTTTATACACTTACTGTTCTCCTCTTCACTCTTTTCTTTGGCAGCCTCCAACTGTTGCTTCTCATAAATGTCCTTGAGACTCTTACAGATTTTCTTATGTGCAAACCAATGTGTTTTCTGGCAGGTTTGATCGCAATATATTACCTGAAGGCAATTGTACGTTTATTTTCAAGAGGTGTAATTGCACAATTTTTCAATTATGACATTCAACCAAGTACTGTGCTGTAAAAACGTTAACTTTTCTATGCTTTATTTTAAAGGACCTCCTGCTGGTCCAAGGAGGATGAGAAACACATGGAACACAAGTGCCCCAGCCAACCCCAGACATGAGAGAAAAAATAAATGATTGTTGTTTTAAGTAAAATATTTTAGAGTGTTTTTACATGTGGCAATAGTTAATCAATATAGATGGTCACATTTAATTCTCACAGCTGTAGCCCGATTTCACACATAAGGAAACTGAGGCCCAGAGAAGTAAGTAATTAAAGGAAATGAAACTGGGAAGTAGGTTATAGCAGAATATGATAGGTTACAGAAGAATATGCTGAAGAATTTCAACCTTAAAAAACAAGAGGAAATTAACATAATCTATAGGGTAAAGTGAATGTATAGACGCATGCATGTGGGTGACATTTGTATGTAAGAAGAAGCCATTCAGATATGCCCTTTATAAAGATAATGCTGACAGAAGTGGGTAGTAATCCAGAAAGCTTAAAGATTGGTAACAGTCAGAAGGGAGCTGTAGTTTTACAAGGAAGAGTTGATGAAGAGATTGTAGTTAAAGTCAACATCAGAAGATTTAAGACTGCATATTTAGAACTGTTCCATTGTAGGTTCTCATATCTGCACCAGTCTCAGTCCCCTATGGATAATTTTTCTCTTGTTTTCTCATATTCATTCATTTATATTCTTTCCTTTTTGGGGGTAGTCAGCATAGAAGCTGGGCAGCCTGTGAGTTTGACAGAAGGTAGAGAGGACACAGAACTACATTTATCCTGTAGTTCTCTTCCAAAATTATTTTAAAATATCAGATGCAATACTTTATATCTAATGGATTAGAATTTATTAGAAAACAGACATCAACTATTATATTTATAGAATATTAAAACTCAATTATCAATTTGGATGAAATCTAAACCAGATGTCAATGAACTGAAAAGAACTTCATTCTTACCATTTTGCACACTGAGCATCTTTTACTTGCTCCTTTTTCTCCACAGGTAGTGCAAAATTCAACATCCAAGAAACCCACCTGACCAGTGATGGCCTGGGTAAGTACAGAGAATGCAGTGGGATCAGAACCCTACAGTGGGTTAGAAGAGGAGGAAAAAAACCTCTGAAATCACCATTGAAAGACACAGAGAAGACACGTCAAGAACAAGAGACAAAATTATTAAGGCGAGAGACTGCACAGATGATGACAAAATGATAGATGCCTTTCTGAGTACACCTTTTTCTATACAAAGTACATGGCAGGTAAGTCATGGATGCAAATATTCAGAGAGAAAAACATTTGCCTTATTCTAGAATAAAAGTATTTTTTCAATTAGGATTATTCAGTAAGCACACAAAGATTTCAGATATATGATAGTGAGCTCAGAGTGGAATTTCCTTCTGAGAATTAAGACAATATACATATTTTGAGGGACAATTTATAGGGTACATCACAAATGTTTATATTAATTCTTAAAACTTTAGTGCAATTTAAATGTTTTAAAGACTTTAAACTATTTACTTGATGCTGGTCTGCAATTCTAATAGTTAAAAATTATCACCGTTATTATTGAAATGTTCCAAACTCTTAAAATTAAAAAGACATAGATGTGATTGCATTAGGGTATTAAGAAAAACCAAAAATATGAAAATTATCATATGGCTACTGAAAATCAGAATGGCTTGCTAAAGAGGATTTATGAAATTTTTTTACATGGGAAATTATAAGGGCAGATATTTATCTGCCTGGGATAGTGCTATTATGACCTATTTGAATGTTTATCAGCCTAGCATAGTACTATTAAGACCTATTTAGAGCAATTACAGGGTATTGAGCTCTCTTACCTGCTCAAAACAGTTCTTGTTTCCGAGTTTTTCAGATTTGCTTCTTTATTCCCAACTAAATTTTTGCAAATTTTCATAATTTAAATTTTCATTTGCATTTACCTTTTCTTCCTAAGTTTATTTGTTTTAATATTATCTTATCAACTGTATACAACAGAGCTTTACAAATACCACCTTGGAACATTGTTTTACACTGTACTCATTTTGAAAACCGCCTTACTCCTCCTGAAAACAAATGATGACTGAACTTCCTTTCACATTCAAGGGCTGAGAATTCTCTTTTGGAATGAAGATAGTATAACAGTGAGAAAAAAAGAGTGAAATAAAACCTCAGGTACTAGATATAAGTTAATAATTTCATAAGGAATGTATGTCTATGGCAGTTGTGCTCATAAGAGAACTTGTTAAAAATTCAGATTGATCTATACTTTCTAAATTAGAATCTCTAAGGATGTGGTCCATGTACCTGCATTATTACAGGTAATTCTGAAACATACTAAAAGTTTGAGAATTACTGATACTTAAATGTTACAATGAACACTTATGAATCTATAAAGTTATTCTGCCTTAAAAGTAGAGTATTTGATCAGACAACAGTCTGGCCCACAGAGTATGATATATTCAACAGATTTTACAACAATTACATGGTTTTTTTTTTTTTTTTGTAAAAGTGACTGAGACATGTTCAAAATCTCCCCCACAATAGGGCTTTTGTGGGAGTCAGAAAACAATGAGATTCTCACAGATGTAACCGGAGGTAAAAGTAAAGGATTTTTTGCTAGAAGTATGGCTGTTAATGTGAACTGTTGCTTCAGAAAAAAATTGACGGTACAGTAGAGTAACCACATGAAATCTTTCTTGTCACAGTTGAATGACAAAAATTCTTTCTTGCTGTGCAAAATCTTGTCATCTACTTTGTTAAATAAGAATCTGTTTAGGCACCAGAGCTCCGCCTATAGAAGACATTCAGCCTAAAAACGAACAGGATGCTTTATTCAATGTATCCTATAAAATCAGAGACATTAGCTAGCCTTCCAGATGTTAAAATATACACTGTCAATTGAGAAAGCAAAATATCTTTAACAGTCATCATCTGTTACAATGCTGGAGCAGCATTTCTTAAGTGTAGCCATGCCTCACACTTCCTGC